CGTCTGTGCACACGATAACTCGAGTAAAAATTGAGATATCTTAACGAAACTTGGTACGTGAACTTCTTTTGGGCGTAGGACGGATGGTATTGAAAATGGGCGAAATCGGACAATAACCACGCCTACCTCCCATATAACGGTAATTTTCAGAAATACGAAAACTGCGATATTTTAGTAACTACTGAAGACAATTCACTCAAAATTGATACTTACAATGAGTTTCAGACGGAAAACATGAATATTATAAATTTTTGGAAAATGGGCGTAGCCACGCCCACTTATGGTTACATGTGTATATCTTGGTAACCGCTGCACCAATTTCTTCCAAACTCTGCACAGTTGTTGGCCTTGATATACCATACTAAATGACCTAAAATTTTAAAAATCGGACAATAACCACGCCTACCTCCCATATAACGGTAATTTTCAGAAATACGAAAACTGCGGTATTTTAGTAACTACTGAAGATAATTCACTCAAAATTTATATTTACAATGAGTTTTAGACGAAAAATAAGAATATTTTAAACTTTTGGCAAATGAGCGTAGCCACGCCCACTTATGGTTACATGTGTATATCTTGGCAACCGCTGCACCGATTTCTTCCAAACTTGGCACAGTTATTGGTCCTGGTACAGCATACCAAATGGCCGAAACTTTTTAAAATCGGACAATAACCACGCCCACATCCCATATAACGGTAATTTCGAGAAATACAAAATCTTCGATAAATCAGTAAATATTAAAGCTAATTTATTCAAAATTGATGGTTGCAACAATTCTTTACCAAGAAATACGCTTATGATAACATTTTGGAAAATGGGCGTGGCACCGCCCACTTGTGATGACATATATGTATCTCGCTAACCGTTCTAGCAATTTGTACCAAACTCGGTATGGTTATTGTGCTTGCCACATAAAAGCAAACCGTTGAAAATTGTTGAAATCGGTCTAAAATTACGGCCGCTTTTCATATAACGGTAAATTTCAGAAATGCTTGAAATTTCAATATTTACTTAAAATGTATACACCCCGGCTTATCATGTAGCGGTAGCTTTCGGAAAGGTGGAAAACATATATTTAATACTTGCGTCGGGTATTTAATGTTCGGCTCCGCCCGAACTTAGACTTTCTTACTTGTTATAGTTAAATTACTAACAGGCTTCATTTCAAGTACGCTTCTTCTGGGCGAAGTTAGCCTTAATGTTCCCGCCCGGGTATCAAGACACTTTTGTCCCCTATTTCTAAAAGCTTGTAAAACTTATTTTGAATTGCACGACCCACTCCGTTGCTTATGCCAGGATTTTAACTCTCATTCCAGCACGTTTGATATATCAGATCCGCTTTTCAGCATTAAGAAATCGATACTGTCCTCTCTCAATAAATGAATCATTAAAATAAAGACATAAAATCGGCTGATGAATTTAGTTCTGTAGCTGAACAGTTTTAGATCTCGACACTCAACAAACTCCTGCCTATCGTGACTCGGCGCAAAAATTGAAAATAGATGCTGGTTCCGTACGTCATGCGGATTGCGCCCCTCCTGCGGATGGGCGGGAATGGAGGGTAAAAACCGTTGGGATTATTATTATTATATATCCTGGAAGGCATACTTTCAATACAATTTTTTTATGCTTGATATTTGATTTAACATTTGGTGTCATCTGCGGTGGTTCGTTCCAATAATACTCTTGCACAAGAAGAGCGCTTTATTTCTGCCTTAAGCTGTGTTCCTTTTAAGGAAAGTTTAGAGGCGGTAAAAAAGCCTCAAACCCTAACCGAAAATTGTCTATCTCAAATCGCGTCTTTGACGAAAGTAATTCCGTTTTAGAGAGATTAATCACCACACCTTTCATTCCTTGTAGTATTTCACTGACCGTTGAGATGTTCGTACCTACTAGGGATGTTGCGGATGTAGAATTTTAGACATCCGCGGATGCGAATGCGGATGAGAATATCTAACAGCTAACATCCGCGGATGCGGATGCGAACGAGGATGTCAAGAAGTAAAAAAAAAAAACAATTAGAATCTAGCATAATGCCGAGATCGTTGTTTAAACAGCGCTTACAAGCCAAACCAGATATATGTCATGTTGTTTCAGAATTTGGAGAACCTATAACTTTATAAGCACTTTTCGATTTTAGTTTTTGTAATAAATTTTTAACAGAGACCAAAAATAACTGTTATCTCGAATTTACAAATTGAAAACGTTGCCCGAATTCTGCAATTTAACGAAAACGTTGTTTCATAACAGTTATTAGATGAGAAATATGTTTTCCGTTGCCGTTAGTAGCTATTTCCCAACGTTTATTTTTTACGTTGCCAATAACTGTTATTGCCCAACGTTTATTATTTCCGTTACCCATAAGAGTTTATTTTATACGTTGCCGATTAGAGTTATTTCCCAACTCTTATTTTTTACGTTGCCTGATAACTATTATGCAATAGAAATATTTTTTCCGTTGCCGGTCTATACTATCTTCTAAACTAATTATATAAAGAGAAGTCCATTTTTTTGTAACAGGTAATCTCGCCAACGGCTGATACGATTTTGATGAAATTTTGTGTATAAATAGCTTTCAGCAACCACCATATTTTAGGCAAAAAAAAATTTACTTTTTTTCCGGTAGGTGGACCAGGGACCGATCTATTCGAAAAAATCTTATTATTGTCCGATTTGCTTAAAATTTTGGTACGTAGGTAGCTTTTTGCATAGATTAGGATATAGGATCCTTTTTTCCGGGAAGTGGACCAGGGACCGATCTATTCGAAAAAATCGTACTTATGGCCCGATTTGCTTA